GGAAGAGCCTCAGGTATGAAAAAAAAACAAGAAAACAAGAAATTTGTCTCCATCAGGAGGACACAGTAACTTTTCTCCAACTATGGAGAAACAAAAAAACTTACCAAAATGTCAGAAAAAGAATTCAAAACATTCATGGTGACAAAACTCTATAAGTTGCAAGAGGAAAGAGACATTGAACTCCAGGAGATGAGAAAGTCCTTTCATTATTTGAAGGAGTAAATATACAACCTGAAAAGGAACCAAACTGAACTTTTAGAGATGAAGACTGTAATACAGGAGATCAAAACCTCCCTTGAAAGTATAAAGGACAGATTAGACCACACAGAAGACAGAATCTCTGATCTGGAAGGCAAAACATCTGACTTAGATAAAACTACCAAAAAAGGATGGAAAAATAATTTTAAAAAATGAGACAACTTATGGGAAATACTAGACACCATTAAATGCCCAAATATCTGAATAATAAGTATTCCAGAAGTTAATGAATCAGACAGGGGCATAGAAGATCTACTCCATAACATACTTGCAGAAAACGTTCCAAATCCAAGAAATATAAAGGACCCCAGGTAGAATCAACATAAGAAGATCCTCTCCATGGCACATTAGAGCCAAAATGGTAAAATCACAAAGACAAGATTCTAAAAATGGCAAGAGAGAAATGTTAAGTCATGTATAAAGGTTATCCCTAATAGGCTAACATTAGACCTCTTATTTGAAACAATGCAGGCGAGAAACGAATGGGAAGACATATTCAAAACACTAAAAGGAAAACAATTTCAACCAAGAATACAATACTTGGCAAGACTACCTTCAAATGGAAAGAAAAGGTAAAAATATTCTCAAATGTCATTGTGGCTATGGATAAGTACAATAGCCAGACATAGTAGATGCCCTCTCATCCAGTCAAGCAGGTAAATACACAAACATAAAAATGACACATACATGTCTTAACTATTTTATCGTAACTTCAAACATCAATGTACATTCATTAATCAAACTTCTGATATTGCAAAAAGCTTTAACTTTTTATATATGGGTCATTCCAGTTGGAGTTCTTTCTTGGAAGAACAATTGCATAATCTATACTCTCTAGTTTCAGATTCTTTAAAGAAATCTACATGTAGAATCCTTCCAGATTTTATTATGAGAAGTTTTCTCCCAGTATTTATGTGTGTGTGTGTGATTTCTTTTTTTAAGATAGGGTCTTCCTGTGTCATTGTCATTCTGCCTCAGCTTTCAAAGTGACTGGAACCACAGACAGGCACATGACTGCTAGGAATCGAACCTGAACCTTCCATGTGGCCTCAGCCTGCCAAATAGCAGCATCCAGTATGCACTACTGCAACTGGGCCCTTTTCCCCAGTGTCTTATAGTGGACTTGCTTGCATTTAATTCAACTGTAACTTTGGTTGTAGCCACTTAACTTTGTGGAATCATCCTGAAACATTCAACTTGGTCTTAGTATGATTATAACTGTTTACTTTGACATTTTACAGATTTACATACTGTTGATTATTAGACATAATTATAGTAACAAGCAGAACTGGAAGACACTGATGGAAGCAGAAAATACATGGGCATATTGAAAAAAAGCTTACTAATTGCAAGTTTTCTTTCTTTTTTTTTTTTTTTTCTTTTTAAAGGTTTTTGCCATGGAGTGCATGTGCTCATCAGAGAGACAAAGACAATAAGAGGGAAAGTGAGAAATCACCTTCTGGGGGGATGGCCAGAAAAATTCTAAAATGGCAGTGGTATAATAAAATAAAGTATAATAATATAATAATATAATAAAATTTTGCCTCCACTACACCATTTATGAGGTGTTTTTTTTTTTTTTAATTTGAATGCCTTTTATTGTATTCTCTTTTCTGATTGCATTGGCGAGGACTTCCAGTACTATATTGAAAAGGAGTGGAGAAAGTGGGCATTTTTAAAAACTAATTAATTTACTTTTTAATATACATTCAATCACATTGTTTAGCTTACAATGTGAGCACTTCAATATGTGCACATTTCTCCCCAGTCCCGTTGATCAAAATATCTTCAACTGATAACACCACACCTCCCCATCCCGTCACTGCTCTACCTCCGTATCCCTTCTCCAAATGTCCTTCCTTAGGCCTCACTCCTCCACACACACCTCATCTTCCATTCACACCCATCTCTTGTGCTTGTACAACCTTTAGTCAATCAGTTTCAGTCATAGAATGCAGACATTCGGTATATGTTAAGTGGGGACATACAATGTCTCTCTATATCCTGGCTTGCCTCACTCAACAGTAAATCTTCCATATTCTTCTACTTTCTGTCAAAGTCAGGGTTTTGTTGGTTTTTATGGCTGAATAGTATTCCATAGAGTATATGTGCCACAGTTTTTTCAATCCATTCATACGTACGGGGGCATTTGGGTTGGTTCCATGTCTTAGCAATCATGAATAGTGCCGCAATAAACATCGATGTGCAAGCACTTATGAGTTTTTACAATAATCCTTAAACATTTTTAGGCTGTATCCATCACCCTTCCCCACAATGCAGAACTTACATTCTAAATTCCTGAATCTATAAGCAGGACACTGAAGAGATTTCTATACAATGAGAACAGTAGGTGTGTGTGTGTGTGTGTGTGTGTGTGTGTGTGTGCATGCATGCGCGCATGCGTTTGTATCTCTTAGAGTTATTTTTTAAAACCATTTAAAATGTAATTGAAAGAACTGCTTATTCAAAATATTCAGACCAAAATAGCTTTTTGTCAGTTCAACTACTCCATTTGCTACAAAGAATGTCTCCAACAAAGACGTACTTTGCAGGATCCATTAAAAAATACTGGGGGCCAGCAGGTGACATAGTGGTCAAGGGACTGGACTTCCACATAATCAACTATGGTTCAAGTCCCGGACCCAGAAGCTTGAAAATCATGCTGGGTGAATGTATGTACCCAAAATCTCAGAAGGAGAAAGGAACTCACTGTCTCTCTCCAGTGAGCATACACTCCCTATGGCAAAAACCTTAAAAAAAGAAAAAAAAAGATTGGATCTGAGGCTAGCAGGTGGCATGGTGGCTAAGGTGCTGGATCTCATCTGGCTGATTCTGCATTTTGAGTCTGGACCTGATAGCCTGAAAAACACACTGGGCACATGGGCCAGCAGATGGTGTAATGGTTATGTCACTGGACTCCTACATGGCTGACCGTGGTTTGAGTCCCTGACCCAGTGGCTTGAAAATTACACTGGGTCCATGTGCATGTGTGCCCAAGATCCTGGGAAGAGAATGGAGGAGAAGGAATTGAGGTATGGCCATCCACTCTGGGGAGTTGATTTCTCACTTTCCCTCTCATTGTTTCTGTCTCTCTTTCTCTCTGGTGAACACACAGGCCCTAAGCCAAAAAAAAAAAAAGGAAAAGAAAGAAAAAGAAAATGAAAAATGCATTGGGTGTATGTGTATATGCATGTCCTAAATTCCAAGAAGAGAGTGGAGAAGGGATTGTGGTCATCCCCTTGGGGAGGGGCTGATTTCTCACCCCATCACCTCCCTGTCCAACCCAGCTACTGCACCTGCCCTAATACAAAAATAAAATAAAATAAAATAAATCTAAAAATAAAGGCTATTGGGCCTACCCATAGCCTAGTGGTTAAGGGAGTCAGATAGCAATGGCTGACCATGGTTCAATTCCCACTTTGAAAAACTATCAGGCTCATACGTGTGCGTGTGCCCCAATGTCAACAGAATGGTGAAATGGAAGAGTAGGGATTGTGGCATGACTGTGACGCATTGGGGGATGGTTTCTTTCTGTCTCTTTCTGACAAGCCTACACACCCTTTCATTTTTTAATTGTAATTTTTATATAATCATTATACCTGTTTTTAGGGTACAATATGGTTTTTTAAAGTATAGTATACAGTGTGTAACAAATCTAGGATATAACATATCCACTACCTTCAACATATAGCATTACATTATGTTGTATACATTTGGAATTTGTTCAACTGATTATTTTGGAAGTATCACTATATTAGGTTGTTGGGAAAGCCAGGACATATTTTTCTATGTTATCTCTATAAAAATGACCCAATATATTAAATTGTCAATGATGTTCTTTATTATAAAATACACTTCTGAAGAAAAATAAAGTAGCAATCAGACAAAAAAAGTATCATAAATAATGAGGATAAATTTTTGAAATATGTCCTTAAAAAAAACAAAAACAAAATTGGAAAGATTTCCAATTGGTGATTACCAGGAACTATGGGAGGTGAGGAACTGGGAGGATGTTGGTCAAAGGATCTAAAATTTCAATCAGATATAAGGAACAGTTCAGGAGATCTAGTGTACAATACAGAGACTGTTAGCAACAATATATTGTATTCTTTAAAGATGCTGAAAGTGGTGCCGGCAGGTGGCATGGTGGTTAAGGGTACTGAACTCCCACACACAGCCACATGGCGATTCGAGTTCTGGGCCTGGTAGCATGCTTTCTTTCTTTCTTTCTTTTCTTTTCTTTTTTTTTTTTTTTGAGAGTTTTTTTGGTTTTGTTTATTTTTTTTTCTTTGGTTTGTTTGTTTTTGCTATAGGGCTCGTGCACTCGCCAGAGTGACAGAGAGAGACAGGGAGACAGAAAGCAAGAAATCACCCCCCAGGGGGGATGGCCACGCCGCAATCCCTTCGCCTCCATTCTCCTCTCACGATCTTGGGCATGCAGGCATATGTGTCCAGTGTGAGTTTAAGCCATCCGGTCCAGGACTCGAACTGCGGTTGACTACATGGGAGTTCAGTGACATAGCCATTACTCTAACTACTGGTCCTGCAGCTTGCTTTCTCACCTTCAATCTCTCTCTCTCACTCTTTCTCTCTTTGGTGAAATTAAAATTAAATGAAAGAAAAAAATGTCTTTAAAAAATGCTAAAAGAGTAGGTTTTAAATGTTCTTGCCACAAAAAATAGTATGTGATGCTTACATGTAAGTATACATAAGTACATATACATATATAGGTATGTAATTCATGTCTTAATTAACTTGATTTAGCCATTTGACAGTCAAAACATGGTGTACACTATAAATATATGCAATTTTTGCTTGTCGGTTAAAATACAAGAAAAGAAGAAAGCAATCTTTTTAAAAATTAATTATTTAACTTTTTTGGGGGGGGGGGTTTGCTATAGGACATATGCACTCACCAGAAAGACAGAGACAGAGAGACAGAAAGTGAGGAATCAGCCCCCAGGGGGGATGGCCACACTGCAATCCCTTCTCTTCCATTCTCCTCTCGGAATCTTGGGCACACACGCACACACACTCGGCATGAGTTTAAGTCGCCAGGTCCAGAACTCGAACTGTGGTAGACTACATGGGAGTCCAGCGACATAGCCATTATGCCAACCACTGGTCTATTTAACTTTATTTATTCATTCTTTTCTTTTCTTTTTAATTTGACCAGCGAGAGAGAGAGAGAGAGAGAGAGAGAGAGAGAGGGAAAAAATGAGAAAGCAAGCCTCCAGGTGTGGAACTTGAACCATACTCGACCATATGGGAATGTCCAGCTCCTCAACCATGCCACCTGCTGGTCCCCAAGAAAGCAATCTTAAATAGTATAAAAGTACACTGACATTCTAAAGTTAAACACTTTCTCTAAAACACTTGTAGTTTGATAAACTGTGGAATAAAAAAATGAAGAAATCCAAATAGTCAATAAACAACCTTCTTTAATTCTTTTTTTCCCAACTTTCTTCCTTTCTTTATTGCCTTTTTCTCCTTCCTTCTCCCCTCCTCCTTTCTTTTCCTTCATCTTTCCTTATTGTTAGTCCTGAATTAACAATACAAAATCTAACAACTATTAATACTGATTAATACCTATATGTGGATTATTTGAGTTTAATGTATTTTTTAAATTTCTTTAGAAATAAAGAAATAAAAAGAAAAATCTTTTTACCTTTGCCTCCCTTACAGTGAATCGCCACAATATTTTCATTATCTCGAGCCATCCACTCATCTACTTCCTTGGAAAACGAAAGCATCTCTCTGATTTCAAATGTAAAATTTTTAGTTTAATGAAACATTTCCAAAAAATCAAGTCCAGTAAAGTTAGCCCTCTTCTAACAATCAAATTGGCATAATACTTACCTCAGAGTGGGGACATTGTGATCATCAATCATGATTCTACGAACCCTATAATGGAAGTACTTAGGATCATAATCTCTTTCACCTAAAATAAATAATGTATTTGTTAAATTTCTACACCTAAAAACATAATAGATGATGAAATTATGACTATGTTAAAATTTTCTATTAGAAATTCCTTATCCACCTTGAAAAGGGGTTCTCTGAGTGACTCCTGCGACTCTAAAAGAAACTTAAGGGTCTAAAAACATATGCATAGAACTGGTTTATCCATCTCAGGAAATCTAAGCCCAAATTATTTTTGTTTAATAGGCCTTACTTTTAACTTTCTAGCAGACTATTACATTACTGTAGGGAAGTTGGAAAGTATGGAGTGGAGGCAAATGCAGCTGATCACAATGCATGCCCTCTGAAAATATCTATTAATATTTAATATTTCGGAAGAAAATATAGAAAGAATGGTAAACAAGGGTATACTGTTTTTCTTTTCTTTTATTTCTTCTTTTTTTTCTTGTCTTTTTTAAAAGTAAGTTTCTAGGTCTAGGACTTGAACCACACTTGGCCCTGTAGGAGTCCAGGACCTCAACTATGGTGCCACCTGCTGGCTCAGGTATACTCTGCATTATGCAGGTTTTCTTCCTTTCTTTCTTTCTTTCTTTCTTTCTTTCTTTCTTTCTTTCTTTCTTTCTTTCTTTCTTTCTTTCTTTCTTTCCATTTAGGTCTCTGATCTTAATGCAATCCACTTCTGACAGGTTATAGAACATGTTTGTTGAATTGTCTAAGTCCACATAACACAGTCTGGCAGGAAAAACAGAAAGATTTTCCTAAATACAATGTCACTAGAACAGACCTTCTCTAAAATGGTTTGCCTCCACTCTCACCTCTTTGATTCCTCCAGGCCAGTCTCCCTCATAGAGTATTTTGTGCTATTGAGTTAACTCTTCCTATAAAACAGGGCCAGTGTAAGTGAGGCTTTTTTTTTTTTTTTTAAGAGAGATTTTTGCTACTGGGCATGTGTGCTCATCAGAGAGACAGACAGAGGACAGAGAGATAAAAAGCAAAACATTACCCCCGGGGGGATGGCCATGCCACAATCCCTTTCGTTCTTCTCTTGGGATTTTGGGCATGCATGCATATGTGCCCAGCGTGTTTCAAGCCTCTGGGTATGGGATTCAAACCACAGTTGGCCATGTGGGAGTCCAGTAACATAATCATTACACCATCTGCTGGTCCCTGCAAGTGGGGGGTCTTTAAACTCACTCCCAGTATACATAGGATTAATCAGATGCAAAAATGGAATTGTCTTCTCATATGAAGTAATCTATTTCTATCTACAGTAGAAAAATATAAAGGCATGTACATACTGCATAGATTATAAACTCGATAGTGGTCTCGGTGCTTGGTATCTAGGAACCGTACAACTTCCTAAAAAAGACAGACATGTGTCTTACCTGTCCACGTGATACCAACATAAGACATTTCCTAAGAGTAAACTAAAATGGTTATTCCTTTTTATTCATTTGTCTCTCACTGGTACCTTCTAGGGAGATTCAGAGAATATGAAGGTAGGTGCATCCTAAGTCATATCTAACCCACTACTGGCTTTCAAATAGCCCACGAAGTGTGCATGGATACTCAGATTAGCCTTTACCCTAAATATACCTTGTTTAAAGCTATCAGATAAGAAAATTAGCTGGTAAACTAGTCTTAAGTAAATTTGTTCCAAATCATCAATTCATAGTAATATATGGCTCTTATTTAAATCTAATGTGAATAGATATGTCTGTTAAATAGTAGCCCACATAGTACATTCTACCTATGCACTATGTAAATAAATAAACGCAAAAAAATTGTGCATTTGTACATGTGATTAAAAAAAAGAAACATCAAAATTTAGTGGAGGAAATATGGAGACATTTTTTACTCATCTATAATTTATTTTCTAAGTGAATTGGGATATTATGTATATGTAACTTTTAAAATGAGACAGAAGTCGTCATTTAAAATATATTTATTACTACCATACTAATCCAAAAATATTTCTAGCAAACCTATCCATCTGAAACACACATTTGCACATAGATGCATACATAAATATGTATCTGTGCAATCACAAAAATGCCACAAAATTTTTAAAACTGCTGAGTTTAGTAGCCTAAGAGCAATGTTTGATGGCTTAATATTGAGAAAAAGTAAATGAAGGTATCAAAATAATCTATTTGTTAAATTGGTTATCTCTGCCAGGAGGAAGCAATAAGTCAAAAAAATGAACACCCTGAGTCTGCATAGTGTTGGGAGAAAGGAGGTAAATAGCATTACACATTTTAAAAAAATTTATGGCAGCAGTTCTGGACACCAGGCTGCCTGTAGCTGCAGGCCCTTACACCAAGGACCATTGTGCCTCCCCACTTCTACTCATCTCTGAACTTCAGGTTGGTTTCTTGGGACTTCAAGACAAATTCACAGCTCCCACCCCCACCCCACAAGCAAACAAATTCAAGCCAGCCAGCAGTACCTGACACCAGGCTGCCTGCAGCTGCAGGCCCTTATGTCCGGGACCCATCACACATCCTCTGTCCCTACCTCACTTGCCTTTGGACTCTGATTTTTAGTGTTTTGAATAGCAGCTGATACACACTGTGCGATTTTTTCCCCTTTGCTCTTGAGGTGTTGCTTATTAGGTCAGTTGGAAGCTCACCACTCCTTAGAAACAGAGAGGACTTTGGGTCACCCTGGACCGTGACAACAGTACATGGTACTGGTGAGCAACAGGTAGGCCAACCATAAGAGAAATCACCAATTTTCTAATTCTGAACACATTTTAGCACTTAGAGATACCTTAAATAAGTTAGGAAGCAACATATAGATCACCCGATGACTAAGAACAATCACAGAAGCTCAAGAAGTATGAGCAACCAACAAAAGGCCTCTCCCCCAAGGGAAATTATCAAGCCTACATCACTCACAGTCAATACACTGGACATCGTGGACATGTTGGATAAGGAATTCACAGTATTTGTAGTGACTAAACTAACTGAAATGCAAGAGAAAAGAGACAAGGAGCTCTAGGAGATGAGGAAGTCCTTTCATGATTTGAAAGAAGAAATACATACCTTAAACAAGAACCAGATGAAACTTCTAGGGTTGAAGAATGTGATACAGGAAATCAAAACCTCCCTTGAAAGTAGTAAAATTAGATTAGATTAGGCAGAAGATTGAATCTCTAATGTAGAAGACAAAACATCTGACCTAGAAAAAAGTATCAAGAAGATTGAGAAAACAACCATGAAAAATGAGGATAATATACAAGGAATACTGGATACCGTCGAGCGCCCCAACATCCAGATAATTGGTATCCTAGGAGAGGAAGAAAATAATAAGGGCATAGATAATTTATTCCATGAAATCCTGGAAGAAAACTTTCCAAACCTAGAAAGGCATTCAAGTATCCAGACCCAAGAAATACATACGACCCTGAGTAGAATCAACCCAAGAAGATCCTCTCCAAGGCACATCATAGGAAGACTGGCAAAAACAACAGACAAAGACAAGATACTAAAGTTGACAAGAGGGAAACATCAAATTACTTACAAAGGACACTCCATCAGGCTAACATTGGATCTCTAGGCAAAAACAATGCAGGCAAGGAAAGAATGGGGAAGCATAGTCAAAGTGTTGAGTGAAAAACAA